CTGCAGCTGCAGCTGCTACTGCTACTGCTACTGCTACTTCTGCCGCTACTGATACTGGTACTGCTGCTGCTACTTCTACTGCTAGTGCTACTACTCATCCGGCACCAGCGACGTAAACTCCTGGCAGCCGAGGTGAGCGGCGTAGAGCAGACCACGGCTGCGAACTTTGAAGCGAGACACTCCTACACGCTGGAAGACCTGTTCTGGAACAGGACTCTTGCATAAGCTAGTTTTTAACACTGGAGAAGCCGATCTCTGCGGGTATGAGCCTAGGTCACAAGATGCCATGGTTTGGAAGATCGGTTTGAGCTATTAGAGTGTGGAACTTTCGATCTGAGGTTGTAGGACCTACTGGTAGGGCTCTCTGCCCGTGCATGCCCCGCGAAGCACCCGCAATCGCCAAATCTCGGGATGTGCCCAAGAGAGATCAATGATTGTATTGGCTTTCCAGTGGAAGAGCTTGTTCTTGTTCTGCACAGCTTAAGACTTAAGAGGTGGGCTGCTTTCCGCATCCGCGAAGGACGTTCGAGCCATGTGTGTCCATCAACAAGGATGGCCAACATACCGTGGATCTGCAAAAGTTCCACTGCAGTCACATGAACAGAGAGACTTGGCAGATCTAGATTTAGAGACACCAGAAAATCAATTGGGAGATTTCACAAGCTTGAGCTTAGGACGAGGCCGTGGCTCTGGTGCCTGATCGCGCTGTGTCTGTTCGGACACACCACTCCTTCCGTGCGACCCTTGAACCACAGGTGCCCGAGTAGTTGAGTTTGGGATGGACTAAGCGAGGTTGAACATGGTGCAGGGATGTCAAGATAGTCGCTGACACCGTTCGCCAGCTGAATTTTTTCCGGTGTCCTGCAGTGCAATGACATTATGCTAGGACGGAAGGATGCCATGGTTTCGGCGAGGGCAGAAACCTTATGGGAGTATCTTACAGTGAGCACCGCTGGTGTTATCCGGTTGACCACGGGCAAACCGGAAGCTTTCGACGCTTCGAGATGTAGCTTTGCGTCCTGGAAGGGCTTTGCATCACCAGCTTCTGCCAGCACGGCTAAAGTACATGTCAGAACCCACTCTTCAGCCTCAGAGCCTTCAGGTGGCAGATTGGACGATTTACCGCCGTGGGAGAGCCCCACTTGGAGCTACTCTGGACGAGCTCTTCGCATACAGGCCCTGGGAAATGGGCGGTCTGAATGCATTGCCAGCCTTCTCCCTCCCCACTGGATGCTTTGCACGTACTCGGCCTTTGTTTACTTCTACGAAGCTTTTCGAGACCCTCGTGCTTCAGATGTCAGGCTGGAGACGCTCAACCGCCCCTATCCCGAATGCTTTCCATTCCAGTTCTCATCAGGACGCACAGCCACTCCGATCTCTTCACTCGGCAAAACAGCTTCTTGAGCAGCAAAGGGTTGCCGGTTTATGCGGGTGTCCGTGAGTTGCTGCGCAAGCCGCTGGGGGGTTGCCCTGTGATGTGCTCGGCCAGGTTACAATGCGGGCGATTCCCCGTAGCGCCATGCCTGCTGAAGGAGCTCTTCACACAGGGGAGCTCCAGGGCTTTGGCTCTTTCAAGTATTTGTCCACAGGTCCAACCGATGGCTTGCAGGCCCTCAGTACTGTTTGTGACCAGCGCTCGCTTGAGCCAATGTCACCGCAGTTGTGGCTCAATGTTTGCTCAGGTTGCGAATTCGTTCCTTCCCTTGAATAATGTTTTCACGGGTGTCAGAGCCATTAGCTGCAGCATGAGCTGGTTCCCGAGCAGGAGTGTGACTCAATGCAGTCGCAGTAGGTGGTGACGAGGTAGTTCTAGGATCCAAGCTTTTGCAAAGCTCGCGTGACAGATGGTTGCTAAAAGGGCAGCTCTCAAAGCTCGGAAGCCATCTCACAGAGCCGCTTCCAGCACAGCATGCCTAGCACAGCTCAAAGGTTCTGCGCTCGCCTCAAGCTGCCGCTGCAGCCGCGCATGACGCGGCGCGTCCACCTGGGGCTTGCAGGTTTTGGATTTCCGTTGGCCTCTTCCTTCATTTTGCAGAGAGGCCTTAGGTCGAGCTTGGGACAGGTTTGGAAGAAGATCCCGTTTTGTCTTAGAGTTACAGGCACGCAGGCATCGAGCCGAGGCAATGCTAACAAAAGCAAGACCGGCTGTGCCGCATCGCAAGAACAAGTAGCCAGTACCGAGAACATGCAAGAGCTCTTGATTGGGGCCGTTCGCCAGCTCGCACTGACACCGCAAATTCCCCATAGCGCTGCCAGGACCTGGTTCCGCAGTGTCGGGTTTCTTGCCAAGCTGCTGGGTATGGACGTGACCTCGCTGAGAGGAGAGGCCCCAGCCAAAGCTCGAAGAATTGCCGCTTTCACAAAACGGTAAAAGTTGAACTGCCATTCCGAAGACTCGATCCGCGCAGGCTTCTGCGCTGGTGGGCCCTGCAGGTGCCAGTGGAACCGAAGCGGCGGCTGAGCTGCGAATGCCACTGTCCCAGCAGCAGCTCCAAAATGTACCGCGATGTTCGTGTGGCTTTGGCCTCAAGTTTGGGCTTTGGAGAGTGCAGGGTGGGTGAGTACGGCTTTGGAACGAAGTCCACGTGTCCTTCAAACCGAACTGCTCTTCCGAACTGCCGAAGGTCCTGGCTGCAGGAGGCATTGGTACCCCATGCGATGCAGAAGGGGCTCATAACGCAGGTGGGCTGCGCGACCGATATGAGTGCGGCTGCCTGATAGCGGCAGCACTGGTCTTCGTGGTTACGGATTGGTGGTACATACTGTAGTAACTCGTTGCATGTGCATGTGGTGGCTTTCACAGTATATCGAACGACGGGCCGTTGCATTCGACATCTCTAGACCCTGACAGGTGTGTAGATGAGTAGTATAGCCGTCTCGGTGTTGGCATTGCAGTTGCAATGGCAACATAGATAAGGTTGCAGCTCTAAGCCTACAGGCGCTGCTCCAGCCAAAGCCGCTTCTGCAGCTGGGAGCGCTGGTCCTGCTTCTAGCGGTGCAGCACTTGGCTACATTGGGGTCAGCCTTGAAGCCCGCGAGACTCCGCGAGACCTTCCGAGACCTTGAGATCTGCAAATCGCAGCAAGGCCTTGGAACGCCTGCAACGTGCGCTCCGCAGCCCGGACTGGATGCCAACGGAGCGGGAGGACGCAATGCTGTTTGCGGCCTGCTGGACAGAGACTTCGTTTTGAGTTCTCCGCCCTTGCTACTCTAGTTCGAGGTAAGCCGATTGCCGGAATGATGTGGGTGGCCTGCTTTGCTGCTTAGCTGGTCCACCTCAATTGCCTGTCGTTCAAGTGAAGTTGCTTTACGAACTCGTTTCCTTGATGTTAGTGATTAGTGATTGTTGATTGTCAACGAATTTATTGGCTTGTTTTACTCGATGGCAGATTTGCTCGGCTGGTTGCTTCGACGAGCGACCGGGCTGATGACATGCGACTACTCGAACGACTCGCTAACTGTTGAAACAAGCACTTTGTTGCGTGTTCGATTCGTTTCTACTTTGATTGACTGGACCGTCACGCTACGTTGTCGATCGATTGGCAAACTGTTGGAGAGGGACGGTTTTGGTACATTTGCGCGAGCCTCAAACGGCTGCACATTGACTGCGATGTGGTCCTTGCATGTGTAGGCGAGTAAGTACAAGGGTAAGATGTAGGCACATGGACAATCTCCGGCAAGGAGATGGAGTAGGAGCAGTAGCGAGTTGTTCTAGAATTCACAATCACGATGCAGCAGCTTCTGATGAATTACAAACTGACAGAAGCCATGTGAAGCTCGCGCGCGTCTGTGAGGATCTACAAAATCGGATCCAAGCACGGCTGCCAGACCTCAACACGCTGCTGCTTCTGTGGCAGAAACTGTCGAAGGACTCGGTGTCATTCTGTGTCGAGTCGGTAAGGCGAAACCGTCGAGATCCAATATCTAGAGTCGTGATTGAACAGGGCAGATCGCTGCTCATTGCAGGATGGCGAGACTTCATCTGGAATCACTGAGACACCACCTGCTGGTGCGCAGCACTCCCAGAGGCATGGACGACTTATCGTGCAATGGCGGTTTGTGCAGGCTGCACGGCATTTTTTTTTTTTTACCCTGCAGTGGTGAGGTCAGAAGACGCGGACGCAGAAGAGGAGCCGGGTCCTCGACTACAGGTAGTAACTAGTTCATGCACGAAGGCTTTACATAAAAAGGCAGATCTAGATCATCGTTGGTTGCACAGCGGTTTTTATTGTTGGGCGAGTCGAGCTGTTTTGAGGGTGGCTGAGATGCACCGCGACGCATGGTTTTTCGCAGTTTGTCTTTCGAGGGTGTTTCAGGTGGGTGCTTGAATATCGGCCTTCCCTTTCAATGCGCACCCAGTGTGCGCCATGCATGTGTCCTCATGTCATGTGGCCAATCAAACTGTTCGGAGAATCATCGACAAGCGGCATGCGTTTCTGCTCATTGGTGTTGATATCAACGCAGGGATTCTCATCATGATCTGGACGGTGTGTCACATCATACTCTATCGCAGCAATCAATAGCCGTGGGCTGCACCAGGATAGCAATGGTGTAAGAACCAACAGTGATACTGACGGCATTCGCTGTGCTAAATGAAGTTTTCTTCCCGCGCTGTCTCTCCATGTATATGTATATCCGCGTATTTGAAGCTTTCTGTGGCAGGCAGAAGGGTGGCGAAGCCGTCTCCGAGGCTCATGCATTGAATCCGATGCATTCCGTATTGTCCGCTGTTATGTGCTGGGGTTGTCCCATGGATGTTCACCATCTGCGCTTAGTGCAAGGCCGGCGCAAGTGACCTGTGTCTGCATGGCAGGTGTTGGAGGAAGACGTGGTGACACTGCTTGGCTTGCCAGGCCTTGATGGAATGCTTGCAGACTGCACAGATTGGAGCATGCAATCCGTCAAGTTGTCACCAAGGGTGCACTTGGTGGAAGCTTTGGAGCTTCATGGGCTTATCCGTAGGAAAAGCAGTTTCCAGCACATTGGATTTGGCGCTCATTTGTCTAGCAGACCGGTCATAGTCATAGCCTCACAGGCCTGCATTTCGACTTCACGTGCCGTTCAGCCAACGCGAAGTGCAACAGCGAGTTGAAAGAATTGCTTCTTTCAGCCAGGTCCCTTGGCGAGCCATACCATATTCACCACATGGTGCAAGAATGCACAGAGGCCGGGTCATTTGGACGAGGGGCTCCGGCGCGGCTATGGCTTGCGTAGTTGCCTGGGCTTGGGACACAGAGTTTTCGCCAAACTCGCATGTGCACCGAAGTCACTAAAGTCACGAAGATGGGATGCAAAGACAGGCACGAACTGGCGATTTGGGTTCTTTTAGCGCGTTGCTCAAACTTAGCTACTCTATGTTGAGCTGGGCCTACAACGCAAGCCGCTAGCCGTGCACAAGTGGTTCTCGGAAGGTACATTGAGGTTCTTCCGCAAAGCGCAGCAGATGTCAAGTTTGATTGGTGCCATCCTCAGCACCACGTTGCATGTAGCGACATCGTCGCGTTGTTCTTGCCGCAAATGTTTGCAGGAGATAGGAATATTTTTCAGCCTCAGTCAAGGGCTGCTCTAGAGTTTTTGGATGGAATGACTAAGATGACGTCGTGTCTTGCACATGCACAGGGCTGTAAGCCGTACGATGAAACGAGGAACGGACAAGTCAAACTTGTCCAAATCTACAGCCTAGCCTTGTAAGGTTCACTCGTCCTCGTGATAAGTTCGTGGTTTGATTCCGTCCTGCACTTGCATTTCTCCTCCCCTCGTCCGGTCAGTCCTAGACTTTAACAGTGCCCAGTCCAACAAGGTCTAAACTCCTCTCGGCCGTTGCATCGCCGCTGCTTTCTGGGCAAGGTGGTACCTGGCACCATGTGCAAGCAAGTCTGAGGTTGCTGTGTATATCCACAGGCCATAGGAGCATATAGGAGCCATAGGACATTCGCGGTATCGTGTCCTTGCCAGTGGTTCCGCTTACAGGCCCGCCAGTCTCCGCCGAGAGGCTTCGAGCCTGCGTCCAATGTGTTGGCGCTGCCATGTCGAGTCCTCGGGTTTTCCGCTTTGCATCGCTTTGCTACCTCCTTTGCCTTCTCCGCGGCTGCATTGTCCAGCCACTTGATGCAATGCAGAGCGCAGAACCTTGCTTTTAGTGTATTTGGTACTTGTTTCAGGCTTGCTTCTTTTGCATCCAGTAGCTCTCCTTTCTAGCCAACCTGGGCACTCCAATCGGTGCGCGCGAAGCGTCCTTTGGATTTTTGGCGCCTACAGGCTGCTACGGAGATGGTCCAAAGCCCCAAATCTGGACTTGCCGAGTTGATGCACGCAGAGCATTTGTCTGCACCCAGGCAGGCAAGGTCTCTGTCGCTGCAGCTTTCGAAATCGCAGCGAGCGTGGCTGGAGGCCGCAGGTTTTCGTGGATGTCTTAGCTGCATTACTTTCCACCCTGACAGACCCTTCTCCAACTTCGGTCTGCTTCATCGGATGACGAGCTCTGCAGCGACTGCACAGAGCACGCCGGCTCAGATGCTCGGGGAGTATCTTTTGCCACGTCTGCCAAGACAGTGGGCTGCCATGGATGTGGTGGAGAAAGCGTACACATGTCCTGGCTCACCACGCAGCCTGCACATGTTACTGTATTGGCTCTTAGTGACATGTCGAATCCTGTCTTACTGGCATGTCCTGAGTATTGTATAGTGAGATCGAAGGCAGAAGCCTTGTTATCAGGTGTCAGATGGTGTTATGGTGTATTGATCTGGAACTTATACCCGCTCGTGCTGACGCCTACAGAGGCAGCTGGTTCGTTTCATCGGGGGACGCAAAGTCTGTGGCCAGGGGCTGAAGGAAGGCTTGTTGATAGATCTGAGTTCCCTGGCAAGTGTCGTTCTCCCCATTCTCGGCTGCGCTGTTCGTGTATACGAACCGCAAGGTCTTCTCTTCAACAGACTTGATTGATTTGATTAGTCAGTCCTCTGGGGTGAAGTGCTGTCTTTGTTTCCCGTGATGGAGTTCAGCGGGTGTTGCATTTGCAAACAGCTGACCCTGAAACACAGCTTCAATGAAACTGAGTTCGTACTTCTGAGATCTTCAGCAACATTGATTCCTCAGGCCATGAGCATCAGGTTGAGCTGCACAAGCTTCTTGCGGCTACGAAGAAATGGCCGCAGAGTGTTGGCTTCTTCTGCCAGGCTTGCCTGCCAGAGTTAATGCTGCCTTCTGGGCATGTCAGAAGTCACTCTTGGCCCTGCCTAGGCTTGTCCGAACTCGTGGGTTTCTGCAGCAGAGCTGCAAACGCAGTGATGCAGCCTCAATGGCTGCATCGCTGAGAGCCTATTTTGAAGCCAGCCTTTGGGACGTAGACCTGTTGTAGCAGAACTTCGAGCTCTGGTGCCAACGAGATCATCAGATGAAACTCCTTCAACCTAAGCTCGTCAATGTCCATTGTGGCTCCGATGTTGTTGCCTTGCAGTGGGCTGAAGTGCTCATAGAGGAACTTGCCAGAATCACCACAGTTTTTTTGCGGAAGGGTGTCTCAGTTTGAAGAGTTTTTGTGCCAGGCTCTGCAATCAGTGCTGCTGCGGCCCGGGTTCTTCCTTTCAGAGATCGAGGCACCGGGTTTTGCGGTTCCATCGGTCGACTGCATGTGGGGTTGAAGTTGAAGTCATGAGGTATCCGAGGTCAGCCAACCTAGTCGGTCCATACCCAACTGAACCAGCTGCAAGCCAATCCTGTGTTCCGAGAAACGATGGGCCTCATCGGAGGAGAAGGCATATGACTCCTTGCTGCTTCTCGCTCTGGTGCGGCAATTGGCACGGCGCGACCCGCCACTTGGCAAAGCAAAGACCGGCATTCGGGTCTTTGTGCGTGTCCAACGTCCAACAGGTGTAATCAAGCTCAAACATGTCCGATCCGAAATGCGGAGACGGTAAGACAAGAAAGAGGTGAACTTCTTTGAGAACCCCTGGTCCACTGAAACACTTGCAGCTGCCCCTGCCCAAGCCTACAATTCAAGAGCCCAAAGCACTTCCGAAGCGAAGCGGTGATCCAAGCCCAGGCAGGGCCTCGGCCTGCCGAGCAACGTCGCGATTGACGACCGCCCCTCGCACAGCAAGCGAGCAGTGCTTCTCTGATTGTATGCTGTTGCTTAGCACCATGAACATCTAGGAATGGGCTGCTGTGACATTTTGTAAAGGTCGGAACATGGCGATTGTCTGTGCGAAGATGACAAAGCAGTCCCTGGTGCAGCTTGCCATGTCGGACCCTCACCTTTCCATTCTTGAACTCCCCTCCTCTTCCGGATCCGGGATGTTTGGTTTGTGCGTGCTGCGTGGTAGTGTGTATGCGTGTGAGCCTTCCCCAACATACCAGTTCCACCGTTATATCAAGCTGACTAGGCCTCGAGCCACACCGCACCACGCGCGACGGCACTGTACCGCACAAATGCTTCATGTTGTATCATTGCACCTGTCGTCCGGGCATGTTTTGGTTGTGTCATGTCGCGTTCTGAGTGGCTGAAGGCAGCTCCCCACTACCGCGCAGCCCCTGGCAGCCCTCGTTCGAGGTGCTGGGGAGTGGATTGCTGGTACGGCTGCCCGGCTATGAGACGGCTGCGTGGTGTTAGGTTATCATTTTCTGAATTTGGAGTCCAGCTACTTCCTCCGGTCAACTTTCTTCCTTTATCAGCTTCGGCAAAGTACGGCACCAGTTGTGATGACCATGTCTAGGACAGTTGATACGAACCTTGGCATTTTAAGTGAATCTGCTCGAAAACTGAAGCCCCCATTCGAAAGCACTCGTCAGGTTTCGGTGGGAGAAACTCAGCGCCCACCTCAGCATCAGCATAGGGGGAAGTCTCCACTTTCCGCCCAGCTGCCGCTTGCATTGATGAGGATTGGAAATGTAAATTCAAGCTGTTGAGTCAGCCCGCGTGCTGTAAGGCCCAAAGAGGATGCAGCCGTTGCATCTCAAGGCAGACTCAATATGCTGTGGGTACAGACTGGTAAAAGCCCACCAGCCCACGTCACGGTAGCACACCGGTTTCGCTTTGAAGCTCAAGACTGTCAAACTTGTCCGGTTGTCACACCACCGAAACGTGGCATAGTTGGGGGTCTGTCAACTAGACCCAAGTTTGCAAGTATTCTCCTGTCAGCTCTTCGACTCGACTCGTGCAGCACAGGGAACATGATGCAGCAAGTGGACTTGGGGAGAAGAGCCTGTCTGCAGCAAATTCTTTCATTTTAGAGCTTTCACCCATTGGTTAGTCTGCGGTTTCCCACGCCCCGAGCGTGAGGAGATCCTGAGGGTGCCGAGAGCATCCGGCAGCCCCTTGGACTGAAGCAAAGAGGGGCAGTGGAGTGTCGGACTAGGAGTTTAGGGTTCAGAAGTCTTTCGAGCGTCTCCGTCGAACTCAGGTGCATAGGGCGTTGGTATTTATCTTTCTTTAAACCTGCCTCGCAGATGCATGAACTGTTGTGAGTATTGCCAAGGAGCCTGTTGGAGAAGCTGGAAGGCGTGCAGAAATCCCAGCAGAGATCTCAGGGTCGTGCTCATCGTGTCAGTTGCAAACGGGTGTCCGGTGTACCTGACTGTCCTCGACTGTTTTATCCACTTGGAGGGGTGATCTCGGCCGCAACGATTCGAGGAAACGGAAACGTGAGGAGGCGACGGAGGTGAACGGAATTGAGGCAGGGACGTGCTCTGTCCATCGGAGACTGGACTCGGCATGTCTTAAAACGTCTTCAACCTATCTGGTCAGGGGCTCGGAGGCGATGCCGCAGTGACCGATGCCCTCAACGATTTGTGCAAGGTCCCTTTCCGCAGCTGTTGTATCATGGTGATCAGCATTTGCATGCCTCGCGCAATTTGCAGAGTGAGATGCTCGCCTTAAGCCCTTTTGCACGGTTGTTCAGTCACCCTCCCAGGAGGTGTATACTGTATTACTTGCCTATGGCCCAGATTCCTCCATGCCACAAACCCGATGCAGGATATGGCTCTTCAACCTTTCTTTCAGCTGGATTCACAGCAGAGGCTGCTTGCTTTTTGCGCTGCAGTAAGCTGTGGTCTGTTCACGCAGTGTTTGTATGGGGAGTCATAGTAAGTGAGTTCCGGTTGACTGGCTTTTCTTCTATGCAACTTACTGCTGGTGGTGTTCGAGAACATTGTCAGCGACTGGCGCGTGTCTTCGATACAATCTCAAGGTCCTAGTCCTAGAGCAATAGCTGGCAGCAACCACGAAGCCGTCACAGACCGCAAGGCCATGTCCGTCGAACTAGTATTCTTCTTCCGATGGTCATTGCGATCAGATAGTCGTCGTTCGCTTCTCAATTCGCATTTGTTGTTGTTGACTGTGGCAAGAACCAGCCGCAGAATAGCCTGTGCGCTGTCGCCAGCTGCACCACTGGGACTGGCTCCATCCAGCACCTGGATGATCACCGTTGTCGTCACCCTCGCCCTCGCCGTCAACATCAGCATCACCATCACCATCACTACCATCACCATCACCATGATCATGATGATGATGATGATGATGATGGTGATGATGATGTTGAGGATGATGATGTTGACGACCACCAACATCACCATCATCCACCGCCTCCGCCACCATCCTTTTCATGCCTTTCCTCATCACCATCCTGATCCTGCATACCCATCATCATGTTCTTCTTCGTCGCCGATACCATCTAGTGGAATGCATCATCATCGTAACGAGCATCATATGGACTGTGTCACGTTCGTCATCTTCAACATCTTGCTTAGACCTTCATGTACACGGTGACGACGAGGGTGGTGAGAAGTATGAACACGACACAGAAGATACCTCTGGTTAGCGACAGTGGGACTGCAGGATGACGACAACGACTACGATGTTGTGGATGATGGTGGTGGTGATGAGGATGATGCTCTCCTACTGACCGTGATGATGACGACCAGTGTGATGCTGGTGAGGTTGATGATGTTGTTGTTGCTGATGATTGTTTTGATGATGGTGTCGTGATGACGAAGATGTTGATGATGCTGCTGCCGCTGATGATGATTATGATCATGATGATGACGGTGATGATGATACTTGATTGCGTACTGGTGATATTTTGGAAAGGTCGAAGGTACTGTGCACCCTGGCATCAAGATCCGATGCTGCGGCGGCGGCTGCCTTCAACAAGGCCCTGCTGGACAGGTTCTTGGGGAGCCTTCATGGCCAGGATCAAGAGAGCTCCTGGTTCGATTTCGGGGTCGATTGCAAGGGACGATGATCCGATACCCAGGAGCAGTCGTGAAGTAGGCGTGTCAGTTTGAAGCTCACTTGTCCAAAGCGAATGTCTTGCACCTGTGTTTACTAGCCTTGGCACCAGCCGAAGTCAGCGCCAGTGCAGGCGATCTGTTGCAGATCCGAAGCAGCGATTCAACGAATTACTTTACGAGACAAACAGACAAACTTCCCAGGGAGGGATCCCTACAAGCCTCAAGACTTTCCCATTCTTTTCAAGGCCACGGCTTGGAGTCGTCGGCCCTGGTCTGGTGTTTTTGTTTTCTTCTGATGTTTTGCACCCGCGAGAATATAAGAACAGCATAGGCAGGTTCTTTCCCGGTCGGCTGGGTTCCAGGTGCTGAGCTGTGACTCGGAGTCCCTCCTTCGTTTGGCCTTGATGGAGAAGCCAGGGCCTCTGACGTAGGCTCTCTGTTGAGGAGGGATGCCCTTCTCTGTTCTTCTGCTTCACTGGGAATCACTGGTAGTACTTGAAACAGTAGCACGTGTCGGTTTTGCCATCGTGCTTCTTCAACCAGTCCTACTGTTGATGGAGGATATCTTGCACCAGTCTGAGTAGACCAGCACTGCGAGTACCCCGCAGCCCCTGTTTAACATCGATGTCCAGTCCTAGGAAGGGCCGTGGGTTCCACTGACAAAAATCTTGCACCAGCCACATGGCACACTAATCATAACTGCCTTCCGACACTTGACATTGCTCCGTGGCTTGTGGAGGCCAACACAGTTCACTCCTCCTGATGTCAGCCTTGGTCTCAGGAGACAGCATGCTAGCGCCAAAATTCACATTCTTCCGCTGAAACATGCAAGGTATGCATCAAGTGCAGATGCGCGGGATACGCAATAATGAGCTATTGCTGCCCTTAACTGTTGCTTGGGCCCTTGCGGTTGGAGCTCCGTCCAACCCTCTCATCCAGGCCTAACCTCTGGTGTGGCACTGCTGCTTGAGCGGCTGTGCGGATGCCTTAAAATCGCAAGTTACAGTGTCCATGCAGGCAGTTCTTGACTTGCAAGTGCAGTGAGACACAGAAGTACGGTCGGCAGGCTCCATCACCCCAAACCTAACCAGAGCTTTTCCATCCCACACCCCATCCATGCCTTTTTCCCTACATGCAGAATCAAACCCAGGTGCACCGTAGTGAAACACCGAGCTGCTCCCTGTCTTTTCGAGTGGCTATCAGTCAAGTCCCTGGGAGGGGAGTTGAGCAGGAAGTCGCGAAGCCTGAACACTGAAGCAGTGAAAGCGAGTTTCGTGACAGCGTCGGACCCACAATCGCAAGCGGTCAACGTCCTGTGACTGCACTGCCATGGAATCTGAGGTCACCTGAACCCAAAGCTCAAGGAGGCAGTGGCTTCCCAGCTATCCTGGCGCACGGGATCCCCGGCAATCGTGCCTTGCAGAGAATGGTTCTGACTGCACCCTACTCGGAGTCCAGAGGCTGCCTGAGGCTTTGAGGTACTTCAACCGACAGCGCCCCGTTTCAACTAGACACTGGGTTCTTCCAATTCTCTCAACCCCACATGCCCAAGACAGCCAGCTAGCCTTCTGCCGAGATGCTACGTTTGGCAGCAGCCTTGGCCCCGTGAAGCAGGCATGTTTTTGTGGAGGGCTTCTTCACTGCCGCGGCTCTGCAGTACTGGTCCGGGCCTCCACACACTCCGATTCATTGCCGGCCAGGCTCGAACCAGTAGCCTGGATGGAGGAGGCTCGAGCGGCCGCCGCCCCTCCTCGGCCAAACTCTGCGAATCGTCAGCGCCGCCCGAGTGTCGCTTTAGCAGATCCCAACCTTCGTTTCATCGCTGAGTCGCATATCGTACAGCCTGGGAGCGGAAGGCACCGCCCTCGCCTTCAGAGCTGCTGCCGCTTCCGAAAGAGGAGGGGTAGCTTTGGGAAGCTCCGCATCGTTTGCTAAATTGATACTTTCAAGAGGTGCGTCTCTGTTAAGTAAATTTGTCAGTCGTTTTACCGTCTCGTGGGCACCAGCCACAGAAGGGGGCACGGAGCATGTCCCAGCCTGAGTGAATGATGAGGCCCGGGGGCGGTTATCATAGAGTTCGTCTCGGGAGGGAATTTAGTAGTTGCGGCATCGGAGCCTTTTACCGGACTAAGTGACCGGCGCGCGTAGGCACGCGGCCTGCGCGGCCTCAAGGCTTCTAGAAAGGCTCTGAGTCGCTGCGGGCTGCCAGCCCGCACGGCCTCATGGCTTCGACAAAGGCTCTGAGTCGCTGCGGGCTGTTCGCACGGCCTCAAGGCTTCTACAAAGGCTCTGAGTCGCTGCGGGTTGCCAGCCCGCAAGGCTTCGACAAAGGCTCTGAGTCGTTGCGGGCTGCCAGCCCGCACGGCCTCAAGGCTTCTACAAAGGCTTTGAGTGGGGCT